CGGCGGCGGGAGCGGGAGGAGGAGGAGGAAAACACCATCCACGCACAGCCAGCGGCGGCAGCAGCGAGGGGCGGCCGGGCGGGGCGGGGAGGGGACACAGCGCCCCCCGCCCGCCGACGCCTCCGCACGGGGCCGGGACCGGGACCCCCCCTGGCCTCGCCCGCCCCGCGTCCCGCACGGACCCGCCGCCCTCCGCGCGACCCCCGAGCGGGGGGGGCCGCACCTGGACGCGGAAGGGCGGCCCCGGGCCCCCCCTTCCTCCTCTTCTCCTCCCGGCCCGGAGGAGCGGGGGACGCGTCCCCCCCGCCTGCACCGGAGAAGGGCCTCCCGGCTCGAGGATTATCGGCGCGGGGGCGGGTAGCGAGGAGCAGCGCGCCCGCCCCGGCCTCGGCGCGTCCCCTCCCGGCCGCGGGGCCCCGCGGGGCCGAGGGGCCGGAGCGCGGCGGCCGCCCCGGGCAGTGACGGGGTCGCCCCGGGGGCCGCCCGCCTTGCCCCTCGCCCCCCGGCCGTCCCCCCAGACATGCCCCGCCGTGGCGGCCCGGCTCGCCGAGGATCATGACTGCGGCAGCGAACTGGGTGGCGAACGGGGCCAGCCTGGAGGACTGTCACTCCAACCTCTTCTCGCTGGTGAGTGAGTGAGCCGGCGGTGGGCGGGTGGGCGCCCGGGGGTGGCTCCGCGCCGGGTTTGCCGGTCGGGAGCAGCTGCCGGGGGTTTATAGGCAGGGCCCGGGGCTGCTCCTGCGCTGGCCCCTCCCCCGGCCCGGTCCCCGTGTTTATTTTGCTCCTTAGCGTGGTTTGCTGCGGGTCTGTGTATCGCGCTCGCAGCTGGCGAGCGGGGAGGGGACGGCTCTGTGTCCCCTGCACGACCATCTTCCCTGGGTAAACAGGCTCCTCTCCCCGCCTCCCTTGGCACTCCGTGCCCTGTGCGCTTTGTGCCACCGAACCGGGGGTTTTCTCTCCTCTCACAATGACAAACGCCATTTCAGCAGCAGCGAACGCTCATGTAGTGTGATCGCCTGTCGGACTTAGCTCTGGGCTCCTGTGACGGCGTGTCAGCTGCTGTTACAGCCTGCTCTCCTCTTTGCACACATCGTGCTCGGGGGCAAGAGGTTAAAAAAAAAACCCAAACCTTTTAATTTTTTCTTCTCTGAAGAACAACAGCGGCTGACAGTAGCGTGCCGGATTGTTTGCATAGATGCTGTCTGCCCATCTCACTGGGAACTTCCGACGTGGATTGCGTGGTTTAATGTTGCAGAAATCATGGTGTCACTTTTGGCTGGCTACAGATCGGCAATTTAAATTTAAAATACGAAAACAATTTGCGTGTAGTGGCAAAGTCATTTGGAAATACTTTGCTTTATTTTACCTGGCACGCACAGGAACATTATCCCTTCTGGCTGGGCAACAGCTGAGTGATCGAGAGGGCTGCTGGATCGGGAGCCTTCCAGGGCTCCAGGGATAATGTCGGAGGGGAGGAGGGACTTGTTCCGCGCGTGGTGTGGTGGAGTTAAAACCTTGTGATGCAACTTTGGGGGTAGCATGTGTGAAAGGGTTGTGGTGGGTGCCCCCTCCCCGCCGCAGAGCTCTGCCAGAATTGGAGGTGGGTGCATATGTTCTTCTGATAGAACGGAAGAGATTGTTTTTAGCTGCCTTATGAAAATAAGGAGAGGGAAAAAAAAAAGGAAATTGCTTAGAAATGCAAATGATCAAGCTCTTTGTTTTATGCTTTTTAACTTATTGTAGTGTATTTGTTATTTTGTCTCAGAGGTTCTTTTTTTGTTTTTTTTTAAACCTACATATGTTTGGTGTATATTTTGCTCGTACCTTTTAAGAGTCTGGAACAAGAGCTGTAGTCTTCCACTGCTAGGAAACTGCCCCAAGAGCTTGTTCTGTGAGAATGATACATTTCTTACTTCGGCTTTTTGTTGAACTGTTACGTTATGTAAGTTTGTATCGGTGCTTCTGTCTGAAGGCATGTAGTAATATTTATAAATATGTAGCAGTGCTCTGTGTATCGAGATGCAGGAAGGGTGATTTGGGGGATTGTTATGGTGATTTTGACTACGCTGCTCTTAGCCGGGGAGGAAAATAAATCGGGAAGCATGAAGGGAACAATCGTATCTGATTGTAGAAGGGAGGCAGTGGAGGGTTTGCTCCTCGCAGAGTTGTGAAGTCCCCGTTCATTAATGCAGGCTGGAGTGTGTGTTTGGAGAGGCGGAACTTCTCCTGCAGTTGCAATCTGCAAATCTGTCACTGGTAAAAATAATTGTTGGCATGCGATTAGCATAAATTATAAAGTGAAGCTATTTCATAGTTATTGTGGTTTGGTTGCTTTTTTTCTCCCACCTGACTAGGCTAGGGAAATGTTCAATTTTAAATGGGTGTGTAATATCACTGAAATAAGTTAAACGAAATTCTTTTGCAAGTGGCTTTAATAACAATGAGTTTAATGTGCAACCCTTTAATCTCCCATGTAATTTTGTGGGAGGTATCTGTGCCTTAATGTGGTGCTGTGTATGAAACTGTTTTTATTGTACTCTGGCTGTACAAAAAAAAAAAGGGAGGACTCGAGTAGTAGTATTTTTAAAGTACAGCCTATGTGGAAACTATTAGGAAGATTTATTTTCTATTGTGTTAGGTTTTTTGATATTTATGTAGCAGAGAAAGATATTGAAAATGGAAACACTGAAAATATGTGGCCAACACCACTGACCCTTTAACCTCAGTTTGTTATATTCATTTCAAAATTTATGAAGTGTTAAAGCTACAGTAGTCTGGATTAGTAGTTAGAGAAACTTTTGCTAATCATTTACTATTTCAGTGTAAAAGAACAAAATCTAAACCAGTAGCTGGTGGGAATCCATTTGTTCTTTAACAGTGAGGTAGATTACAAATATTTTGAAAATTGATTCTGCTATTAGAAGTTGGGGGTTTTTCAACTGCAGGTTTTGTTTTGTGTGTGAATCATAAAGAAGTGTTCGTGACTGGAGAATTACAGTTCTGAGATAATTATAGTCTACCGTGATACTGTTTGTTCATGGTTTAATGATATTTCTTGCCACAGACATTTGTTTTGTGGAAGCAGGGATGCTGTCTCCCTGCCCTGGAGAAGCCAGAGCTCTGTCAGCTCTGTCTGCTTGCTGTGGTGGATTTGGGTTGGTTTAACAATTCATGATTTCTATTTTTCTGTCAGCTGTAGACTGGAGAGGTTAGGAGCCTTTGCTGCTTCTGAATCTTCTGAAATCATAAAGAAGTGTTCGTGACTGGAGAATTACAGTTCTGAGATAATTATAGTCTACCGTGATACTGTTTGTTCATGGTTTAATGATATTTCTTGCCACAGACATTTGTTTTGTGGAAGCAGGGATGCTGTCTCCCTGCCCTGGAGAAGCCAGAGCTCTGTCAGCTCTGTCTGCTTGCTGTGGTGGATTTGGGTTGGTTTAACAATTCACGATTTCTATTTTTCTGTCAGCTGTAGACACACTGGAGAGGTTAGGAGCCTTTGCTGTTTCTGAATCTTCTGGTGGGAAGTGATTTCTTAAAGCTTTTAGTAGCTGATTCTCTTTTATTGGTAACGTCCAGACACTGTGGAGGCACTCAGTGGTGTGGGCTCAGAATGTGTCACCTGAGGGGAGGGCACGGTCTGAAGTGAAGGTTTTGGAGTTACCTTTGACTGTGCAGGTGCTGGGCTGGCAGAGCTGGGTTCCTTGGAATGTCCCTCTGGATTGCAGCGCTTGGCAACACCGGGGGTGTGTGGTGTTCTCCAGCAGCACATGGAAAATGGATTAATGCTGGTGTGCTCTGGCTTGCACAGCCTCAGCCAGCCTGCACTCAGCCAGACTTCCCCAGTCCTGCTCTAACCGTGGAGCCTTTCCCAGTAAGGTGATGGAAGGGCTGGTTTGCATCTTTGTTATCAGAGTACTCCTCAAATAATAACTTGTTTAATCTGCTAAGTATAGTAGTGTTGCTCATTAAAAATACACTTTCTGTCTGAATTTGCTGTTCCTAGCACATCAGTAGGAAAAATTATATTTACCCTCACTCTGTTTTTGCTGTAGTCAAAATGTCTGCTGGTGCTTCTGAAAAGAATGTCTGTTTTGATAAACAGTATTTAATAAGCCATTGTATGGGCCTGTTTATTTAAATACTAATTAAGAGCTGTCTAATAACTATTTAGAGACAAAATGTTCTGAGGTAATATGCTTTGTATTAAAACTTCAGCCTCAGCTGGCAAGCAGTCTTCCTGTGAATAATCCTTAATCATAAAAGTAGTCTTACTGAAATTAATTTGACTTTTCCTGTGAGTAAGGGTTACTCATATGACAGCAAGGGCTTTCATGAAGAGGTTTCCTCAACTATCCAACTTTGCTGTCATGGTGGATCCAAAGGCACAAGTCAGTCTTGGGAAATTGGGGTGAAGTTGCATAACATTGGATATACTGGAGCTGGAAAGAGTACAGCCAAGGGTGCCAGGAATGACCTGAAATTTGGAGGAGCTTTCATGGGGTAGAAAGATTTGGTACTGTAGGAATCTTCATGCTGGAAAAGACATGATTGTGTTCTGGGGAAGTGAGACCAAGTTATAGAAGCTGCTATGGAAGATGTCCCACATTCTTGCAGAAGTGCATTCCTACAGAAACCTGCTGCCAGAAGGGTCCAGCCAGTGGGAATTGTGTTTGCCCTTGTTTAAAAGGCAAAGTTGAAAACAGCGAAGGCCGTCGTTACTGTTGCTTTTTGCAGTTCACATCCAGGAACAGAAGTTGTCCCTTTTGGTCAGTGAATTTTGTTGATGTTTCCAGAATAAAATAAAAGGAATTAAAGCAACCTGAGGTGGCATTTGGCTTATTCTCCTAAAGGTTCTTCATGGCATCAGAAAGTGAAGGTTGCAGAGGCTGCTGTGAGCTATTCCTTGGTGTTGCATAATTGTCATTAAAGGACTTCATAGTAAATGTTGATTGCTCAATGCCTTCAGTAGTAGTGAATTAACCAGTAGTCCTTGCTTGTTGTGTTTTCATAAATGCAGTGCTCCGAGCAGTGGGCTGGGATTTTGGCATGCTGAATGTTCAGCACTGCACAGTGTTTATCTTGCTTGTTTGGAATTTTATGTAGGTGTGAATTTACATGCATAAATAATTAAGAAATGGAATTAACCTCTCAAGTTGTGCAAAAGTATTAGATTCTGTAGTTATCTTTATCCTGAGTTTTATTAGGTAACAAGACAGAAGTAGAGAGATGACATTAGAAAGCTTGTTCACTTCTTGCTAATAAAAGATTATTTCAGGTTTTAAATCACTTCAGTGGTAGGTTTTTATTATGTCCTGTCAGAGTATTTGACAGTTTAATGGGACGTGCCAGGGAGAAGGTTTGAAGAGAACAGACCCAGATTTGCAGAGACTGGGACAGTGACATTCAGCCAGTATCCCCAGCTCCAGGAGGGATATTGAGGGATCTGTTGAATAGCCAACCTTTTGGGAATATTCCCAAAGAAAATGGGGGGTGCAGGAATGACATTTGCAGCTCAGACTAAGTGTGCCCCAAGCTAATCACTTAGAAATATTTGAGTCAGGTTTCTGTGAAATCCTGAGTATCTTGTGAATGTACACATGCCCTGGGGCTGGAAATCCTTC